CCGCCACCCCCGAGTCCACCGTGACCACCATCAATTCCACCATGTCCACCGCCAATTCCACCATGTCCACCGCCACCCCCGAGTCCGCCGTGACCACCGCCTCCGTATCCACCTCCGCTACCATCTCCGAAACCACCTCCTACACCGCCACCATGTCCACTACTACCACCGCCAAAGCCACCATGTCCACCGCCACCCCCGTAACCGCCGTGTCCACTGCCACCTCCGAGTCCGCCATGACCACCGCCACTACCGAGTCCACCACCACCGTGTCCACCACCACCGTATCCACCGCCGCCATGTCCACCGCCTCCGTACCCTCCATTTGTCAAAGCCGAGGATTGTGCACCTGCCGAAGCACTGCCGATAGCTTGAGAATTGGATTTGGAGAAACCGCTACCATCACCATACGAGCTTGCGCTGGCCGAACTGCTAGCGCTACTGGAGGCGAAGCCTCCGCTATAACGCTTCGAACGCGATAACAGTAATTTACCTTCTGCAACAAATTGAACAAATTGTTTTTAAATCATCAAATTAAATGACTGAAAATGTAATTTTTAATAAATCACAAATCCATTTATATATAGAATTATATAAAAATTTATATATAAAATATTTTACATTTTAATTCTCTTTTTTTATATTTACCATCACTACTGTCAACTCCGACGATTCCTCCAATTCCGCCGGTACCTATGCCTGCATCGCTCACTCTACCTGCGGGTCCACCGCCACCCCCGAAATCACCGCCGATGCCTCCACTATAACGCTTCGAACGCAATAACAGTAATTTACCTTCTGCAACACAAATTAAACAAATTGTTTTTAAATCATCAAATTAAATGACTGAAAATATAATTTTTAATAAATCACAAATCCATTTATATACAGAATTATATATAAAATATTTTATATTTTAATTCTCTTTTTTCATATTGACCATCACTACTGTCAACTCTGACGATTCCTTCAGTTCCGCCGGCACCTGTGGCTACACTCGTTCCACCTCCAAATCCATATCCGCCATCCCCGAGACCACCGCCAACGCCTCCGCTATAACGCTTCAAACGCAATAATTTACCTTCTGCAACAAATTGAACAAATTGTTTTTAAATCATCAAATTAAATAACTGAAAATGTAATTTTTAATAAATCACAAATCCATTTATATACAGAATTATATATAAAATATTTTATATTCTAATTATCTTTTTTTATATTCACCATCACTACTGTCATCTCCGACGATTCCTTTAATTCCGTACGTATATATGTTTCTATCGATCAATCTAGTTGCGAATCCATGACCACCGCCGATGCCTCCGCTACTGATAGGCTCCCCGCTCCCTACTATAAAACAAAAATGTACAACTGTTTTAATGCTTGTTAAAATGTACTAGTTTAAGTAAAATGTTTATCTTGGATCAGAGTTCAAGTATTTACAAACAACAATTATCTATATGCGACTGTCACAAATTTCTGCATTTATAGCAAAGATTTGTTATCAATTTCTCAGAAAAAATTTAAAACTTGCGGTGGCTTTGTATTTTTATATACGCTTTCTTCGAAGAGCAATCGCAAAGCTAAAAAGGAAAACACGCAATACACATTTACATACATATATTAATGAATGTTACGTCATGAGAGAAAGATTATCGTTATCTTACTAATAGCAAAATCTTGGAAAACCAAATTGACATTTTGCGCATTATATCTTATATAGACTGTAAATATCAATTTTTAAATAAGAATAATGTATATATACATGTAATTATTTTATCATTATGCTGTTTAAGATTTTTATTTTGATTGTTATGTAAAATAAAATATCAATTGTGTATTTTATACATGCATATGTGTATATGTATATGTATATAATATGTTTATATTAGGATAAGAAAATATTTAATAATGATAGTGAAATATTCAAGTTTTTTTTTTATATGTTCCATAGATTTGATGAAAGAGTTTTTCCTTTCGTGTAACAAATATATCCTTTCTTATTTAAACAATAAAAATAATAACAAAAGCAAAATGTATCTCAGGCAAGTTAATGATGATGACAAGTTGACAAAAAAAGAAAATAACTTACCTCCTCCAGATAAGAATTGTGCTTGGACATATGTTGCGAGTATTAAGGCCAAAAGGCCGATTGTCCGATACTGCCACATGACGATATCTGGTCTCTATCCTGATCGGCCGCCAAGTCTTTATATCTTGCCTCCCACTCGATCACTCATGCCTTCCTAAAACTCTGAGTACTTCGTTGGAGAGACAGATCGAGAAGCAATAAGAGCAAAAAAGTGCGATGCACACACATGGTCAAGGTTGAGGTAATCACCATAATGTGTGACCTTATCCTGGTCGGGAATTCACCTGGGCCTGTCATCGTATCTTCTTGTACTTTCGTTTATCTTAATTTCGATGACATAAATAGTTTACATCCTGTTACAAAATACTGTAAACAATTGTCTTCAGAAAGTATTTTAAATTAGACGAATGCAATGTGGATTGCAATTCTAAAAATAAAAGGTGTACGCAATTTGCTTTCTAAATTTTTTTCTTTAATTAATTTTTTCATTCTTGACGTTTCAAAGATTACGTAGCGTTAGATATGAATAACGCAAAAATATATTGTTCGTAATTATTCGCGATAACATAAAAAAGTACTGGTAATCCAATGTTGGACCAATCGAATGAATCGATCTTTAATAATGTAAAAAAAAGAAGATAAGTGTATTTAAAAAAAGTTATAAGAATAATTTATGCTAAAATAATAATTTGTATTGTACGGATAACGTCTATCTTTTCAGAGAAGTATGGAAAATAAAGTGATTTTTTACTTGGTTATTTATAGCAAAAATATATTTATTAGACGATTCAAGAAAAGAAGCCTCTAGAAGGTCAAGCCATATGCAGAACAAGAGATTGAATCACAATGTTAATAACAAAGAGAAATAAGGGTGGAGTAGTACGAAATAAACACTTTCTCTTGTTTAATACACGGAGAAAATTTTATATTTAAAATTACTATAATGTGATAGTAGCTGCGGTCTTCATGTAAATTATAAGTTTAAATGCTATAGTTATTTTTTTAAAAACAATAATATAACGTAATTTTTACACTTTTTCATAGTAAAAATTTTTTATTACAAAATCAAATATACCTAGCAAATTTTGTTTGCGTACCATAGTAAAAATTAACTGTTTTTATGTTAGAATATGGCTTAACAAAATAATTACTTTTTTTTTTATTTATGTAAAAATTAGTATTATCATAATAAAAGTTAAGTCGGAATCATGTTGTGAGAGTCCATCGAAAATACAAGACATAGTAAAGTGTAATTTAAAATTGTATTAAAACTTAATATAAAATTTTTTCCGTGTATGATTTACTAATTTGCGAGCAATTTGTCATTTATTTACTATTGCTGGAAATATGTGCTAAATATCCGGTAATAATGTAAATGTTTGGTCGTTGACATTATCAATTTTTAATGATTCAAACAACCACGAGATGACATATCTAAGCCGATAGTATAAAATATTTACACGAAGGTCATTTGTAGCCTCCAGCTGATTTGTCTTGATTGATGAATCTCAATGTCATTTCACAGATTTATTACCTATGCCAATCGTTAATACGTAATAATATTTGTCAATAATAATTGTGATTTTCCTATTATCACAAATTACTGTGTAAGGAATAAATGTGTAATGTCTCAAAATAAATGTTAACACTGAATTTAGTATTGTTTTTCAAATTTTAATGTTTTCTAATGTTGAACGAATAATTATAGCAGTATATATTAAAATCATATATTCGTTAAAGCGTTCATATCAAAGCATAAAGAAATATAGCTAATAATTTAATAGATTATCGTAATAGGATTTGAAAATACATGGGCAATAGAGGATATAATATATTGCACATACTTATGACATTTATTACATGTTATGTAGTTTTGGAAAAAAAGAATAAATACAAAATGTAGATATGAATGCAAAATAATCGATGCTACTTCCGGCATAAAATACCCATAAGACAGCATCATAAAAATTATATAATTCCTACTTTTCCGTAAGTTGCAAGTTCCGTAAGAACGAAATGTAATTCTTTAAAAATTATTAATTTGCATTTTTAATGTGTCTTTACTTAATCGTCGATTAGTGTGTTATAAATGATAATCACACGGTGAGTTTTGCTCATTTAGATTTCACTTAACCACGCGTGATATATGTATATATATGTGATTCTACGAAATGTATATTCTGTGAACAGCGTATCAATTTAAATGCGCTACGTAAATTAAATTATAGGAAAAATATTAAATAAAAACATATATATTCTCTTACTATATCCATGATAATTAAAATACTTTGGTTATTTATGTTAAAAATTACATTTTATTAGAACCGCAAATTTCTCGGGATCGATTTGTCTGTATTTTTATGGAACATTGTATAATCGTTTGATGGCACAGCATGCAGTAACTATTAATAAACCTCAAATTAAAAAAATATGATATTTTTTCTAGAAGAGCCTTTTCAGATTATTATATAATCTGGGAATATCGCGTACGTTATATGTTTCTACATTTTCACATTATCATAATTAAATAAACCGGGGAAATACAACAAATCCTCTCTAATCGGTTTAGAAGATTAAACTGACATATAATCAAAATAGCGAGATAGTTCATGGCTGCTGTCATCGAGATGATTTTTTGATATTTCATCGATGCAATGATTTATGACTTGCATACTTAGCATAAAGTGAACAACATAATACAAGAAGATATTTATTTAATAGACTAAACTCGCAAACTGTTGTTAAAGTCTGTTTGTAAAAGACGCCATGCGCCGATAAATTAAAAGAATCTATGATAACTTCCATTTAATGTTTAAATATTGACTCAATCGCTATGTATATGTTTGAATACGCAGTTTAAATTTCCATAAAACGTAAATAATAAATCGTGACACGGAGATAAATAAATCATTAAAACTATTCTTAAAGTGTATATAATTATAAATCTTTTATCTCGCTATCTGAATAGAAAACAAAAGCCTCTACACAGCCGCTTTTCTTGTGCAAAAATACATAGTCAATAGAAATTTCATTTTTAAAGTAAAGAAAGTATGAAGATTAAAAAATTTACAGGCCACTATGTTGTTTTTCTCAGATTGAAAAAGGTTAAATTAAATAGAGATAAGTAATTATCTTTAAACTCATTTTTTTTTAATTTTCGTATCGTTAGATGTATCTAATAAATGTTTAAGGAACTTTATGCCGCGTATAAAACACAATAGAATTAGCAAATGATGGATTTATCGCTAATCTGAGTTTTTATCAAGGATGTGATTATAACATCTTTTTTAAATAACTGTATTTGTTTGTCTATTATATTGTGTTTTTTTGTTAGTTTATATTTTGACAAATTCGAATAAAATACAACAAATAAACAAAATTCAGATATAATTAAAAAATATCTACAGACATTAATAAAGCAATGTAAAAACTTTTTTCAATGTAGATAATATTTATAAAAAGATATTGATAAATATAAGGTAATTAGTTTACCTTCTCAAATTTACCAAATTCATTTTTGTTTATTGATACTGAATATAAATAAAGTTTTTAAAATATATTTTCAGGCACACTGACTCGCAAGTATCCTTCTACATTTAAAGTACAAATGGAAAAAGAAATTATAAAACAATTACGCAAAAGTAAAACAATTCAAATTATCAAATATTAAGATATTATAAATACTCTTAAATTTAATACTAATAAAAACTTCTTTCCGAAGTTGCCATGTACGTTGACAAGGTAATAGATGATATTGGATTTCTCCAACGATTGCCTTCGCCGATATCGATGCAACATCTATCATTTATCATCTTCGATGTCCCGGAGAACATGTAGCCACGGAATTTCCACACATCTTTTTCTTAAGAGCTGAAATAGATACCTATCAATCAGTTCTCAATTTCCGGCAAGAAAATCAATTAGAACGTATTTGTACGTGTAAGAAAAACCAGTAAAAATAGAATAAATATTACGAATGATAATTACAGATTGTGACTACAGTCACATTTGATTCACGGTATTTTCTTGCATTATCGCCGATAACATTATATACCTCTAATTCATATTAATCTAACACTGTACGATCTTTGGTACGTTAAGAATGAGAAAAAAATTAAGCAAGTAATTTATATGCCCTTTTTTTAATTGTAGCTAAAACACTGCGCAAATGGAATACGCTTTTGCATAGAATGAAATAATAATTAGCGTTTGTTTAATTACATCACATGGTACAGGTAGGTTTTTTTATCTACTATATATATCCGTTTCTATCAGCAGTACCAATGTAATTTAATTTTAATCTTAGTTCAACTAACTCTTCATCTTGTTTTGTTCTAAGAACAAAGTGAAGAGTAAGTTATAACTTTAAACTCTCAATTCAATTTCGTTCTTAACTTATTCTTTATCTTTTTCAGTAAATTTAACCGAGATTGAAGTTAATCTTACATTGGCACTGGGCTTGTCCAAACATCCTGAAGAATATATACTTCCTGCTTTCACAAATACCAAAAGTTTCTTTTTTATCATTAATTAGAAATTTCTAACTTCATCTGCATGTAACCACAAAACATGTTTTTCCGTCGAAAATTATTCTGAGAGTAATTCTATTGCAATCAGGAAAGTAATAAAAACATGTATCGATAGTAGTAACTATACTTATATTAATAGTAGAACTTGCGAATAAAAAAAAAGATGTACCATTATCTAATTTTTTAAAAGATCGATTTCATCAATAATGGAATAAAAACATTTGTGTTGATTCTTGAATGAAACAATTGTTTCATTGAAGAGTCAACACAAATCTCGAAAAGAAGGCCGTTTATTAATAAACGGCCTTCTTTTCGAGATTTTATTACGTATTTCGGCCTCTATTTCGCGCGTCAGGTTACAATGATTATTCATCAGCACACGTGAACGGCTTGTTAAATCCCCTTGATTCACCATATTCGCTGTGAGATCGTAATTAGGAAAAAAAGAGCGCATTTACGATGCCAAAACTCATTAAGTTCATTACCGGTAGAGCGGACCAGAAACGTTTTAATATCTTACATTATAAGCAGCTTTTTTCTCACGTTTGACGCATACGTGCTATTTACGACGCGATGCCACCACGTATTTTCGATTGTGAAGCTTATACAATCGTAAAGATAAATACACAGCTACATCAGCGGGATCATTACGATTTTTATTTGCCTTACCTCGTTACGGGTATCATTTGCTCGGAAAGACCGTCTCTCACGAATCAACGTTAAGAGACGTTATTTCCCGCGAGATTAAATATTAATTTTAACACACACTGTTCCGATATTATCGAATAATCTTTTGCAGTCGCAACCATATCATTTTTTTCTTTACAAAATCGAGAAATCTCTCCGTGCTTTCCAATATTTATTTCGACATCTTTTCTATTCTTATAAAATTTCGAAAAAATAAATAATTTAAATATACAAAATTAAGAAAGTCTTTGATAGCACAACGAATTAAAATTTCAAATAAATATCTGTAAAGGGCAATGAAAGCCAAGAACGCTGTCAGTGCACAAAAATCTGTTTTATATTGAACGAATCAATTATAATTTAATTAAAACCCTAAACGTTTCGGTTCTAACAGAAAAATCCTTAGTGGGCAAACAATTTACAATTAGTCAATATAATGCAGTAACTCTTGATACACTTCTTTAAGGAGGGAAATACCTTTAAAGAGAAAGCTAAAAAAACGACAATTTTCAGTATTTTTTAAATGAAAAGTATTTGGCTAATTGGTTCAAAATTTTTTGTGTTACTTTGTCTATCTTTTGAGTATATAAATATATTATTTTTTACAAAATATTAAAAAATATTGAAGCTGCATTGCTGTAAATAACAGAGGTGGCGATGTGAGTTGCTGACACATTAATTGTTGTAAAATATAACTCGAAATAGAAGAATTCGAAAAGAGTGTGGTAGTCCATGAAAACAGAGTGTCAGAATAAGTAAATTAATAAGGGGATGCTGGAGTGACGGTCGAAGTTAATCAAGGTCGATAGTACAGACTTTTTAAAATTCCAAATTCGACAATAGTGACATCTTTCATTCATTTCTTATACTTATTATATATATCGTTGTGTCTCTCTCAAAAGCATTCATCTGTCCTTATCTAACATATTGCAACGTCATCTCTTAGAAAGAGATCAATTAAAATACTGCTCGGTTTCATGGCTAAACAGCCTAAACTGTCGTACATAGTCGATTTCTCACGTGCTAGACACACAATTTCGTTCCTTGCACTAATCTTTTTATTTAGGCGTCAAAACTTAATTTTAAAGATACGACTGTACTCGTCTATTTATCCTACATGTGCTCCTGCCCTAATTTCGAACATATAACGTGCATATAATTTTTTCACGAAGTAAATGTTTGGTGAGCTGATAGCACATGGATACAGGAATCTGTAATTTATTATTTTTCCCAGTTTTGGACACAAAATACACCAGGAGCAGGTACATTAGCACAGATATTTCAATCGTGGATAAGGAATTTTTATTCTGTTCAACTTCGAATTCGAAGAACCGCGCAAGAAACATAAACGCTTGCTTTATCGGTAAAAAAGAAGACTCCAGCATCCCCTTAATAGACGGCTTAAATTAAATGATGTGACAATTAAATGGAAGTTTACACATCGACAGAAACAATCGAAATATATTTAAATTTACAAAACAGAGGTGACGATCAACTGTTACGATTCTAACGAAAAGACTAATGAAAAAACATTGTCATCATAACAACTGATTTGACATTTTAACCGACGAAAGATCGAGACGCGTAAAGAAGCATTAATTCCTATAAAAGAAAGCGCTCATCCGTACTTGAAATCTTTTGTTCGCTGCTTGTCACAATTAAACACATCACCATCTCAATTAGCTGACAATCGTGCTTATACACCGAGGTGAATAATTTATTTACTGCAATCCAAATTCGTATGTAAATAGTGTAATTACGTTTTTCGTATATATAAGTTATAATATAAATGTGTGATTATACATTAAACAGTGTAGAAAAAAGAAAACGGATTTCAAGCTTTTTAATTTCAAAGTTCTCTTTGCCGCTCATCATAATCACCGAGTTTGCGATGCTCATGCATCTTAAAAAAATATTTTGAAAACATTAAATAATAATATTAATAAAACATTAATATAGATCAGATATTACTGAAAGTTATAGTCAAATCAAATCAAATTCATAATTGATTTGAAATGGTTTTTTTGCGGGAAAAATCAATTTTAATACGTTAAATATATTACCTTTATGACAGACTATATGTGTGTGGGCATAACAATTTCTTCTACACATTTCTTTCATTAAAAGATAGAAGTGAGAGAGAGAGAGGGGGGGAGGAGAGGGGGGAGGGAGAAATATTAACATAATAAATTATATAAATTTAATGATATATTTTTTTTCTTTACAGCCGGAATTTTGATTTTTACATATCTAATACTATAAAGATGACTACCATTAAAGATTATCGACTTGAGTCTGTCCGTTTGGATAGCTTCAAAGACTGGCCGTACTTATGGAAGAAGCCAGAAGAACTCGCAGCGGCTGGATTTTATTATACGGGCATAAACGACAAAGTAAAATGTTTCATGTGTAAGGTTGAATTATTTGACTGGAAACCAGAAGACAAACCGACAGTCGAGCATAAACTGAACTCTAGAAAATGCTATTTTGTTAATAATATTCCATGCGGAAATGTACCGATCGGTACGGATCCTAGCACAATTCCGGGATTTGTTCCTCGGAGAGCAGACGTATGTGGAATACCAGGTTTCAACCAGGAGCTTTGGTTTCTTGCGAACCACGGAGAAAAAGAAGAAAGAGTGAATTATTGGTTGAAACATTTTCTATACCAAAAAGCCTCAATACCGAAACATCCCAAATACGCTAGTTATGCTCTTAGATTAGCGTCGTATGATAAATGGCCTAAAACAAGATTACAAGCAGAAAAACTAGCAACTGCTGGATTCTATTATTCGGGAAATAGCGATGAAACAGTGTGTTATTACTGCAATGGACAATTAAAGAATTGGGAGCTAAACGATGATCCCTGGGTAAAACATGCCAAATGGTTCCACCACTGTCTTTATCTAGTTTTAACTAAAGGAACGGAATTTATAAACAACGTTACTGGAACAACGTATATGAAAGTAGTGAGCAGATTTAACAAAATATATATATTGTTATTAGAATTATGAAATTTGTATGTTTTTAATTAAAATATTTTAATCTAGTCATAAAATTATGAAATATAATTTTAATTATGAAATTGTGCTGAATGCAATAATCAGTTCTAAATCGTTTTATTTTTTTAGAAAAATCTTCCATCTGTAGCTGATACAGTGGAAGAGAAATTTGAGAAAACTGATAATGGGAACATTGCTAGTGGAACTTCTCAAAATTCAACTAATGCTGAAAAAAGAAAACCTGATTTACCTAATATAAAAGCAAGTGATGTATCGGATGAAGTAGTAAGCAAAGTAGTAAGTAAATTTAATAAAATATATGTATTGTTATTAGAATTATGAAATTTGTATGTTTTTAATTAAAATATTTTAATCTAGTCATAAAATTATGAAATATAATTTTAATTATGAAATTGTGCTGAAAGCAATAATCAGTTCTAAATCGTTTTATTTTTTAGAAAAATCTTCCATCTGTAGCTGATACAGTGGAAGAAAAATTTGAGAAAACTGATAATGGGAACATTGCTAGTGGAACCTCTCAAAATTCAACTAATGCTGAAAAAAGAAAACCTAATTTACCTAATATAAAAGCAAGTGCTGCATCGGATGAAGTAGTAAGCAAAGTAGTAAGCAAATTTAATAAAATATATGTATTGTTATTATAATTATGCAATTTGTATGTTTTTAATTAAAATATTTTAATCTATACATAAAATTATGAAATATAATTTTAATTATGAAATTGTGCTGAATGCAATAATCAGTACTAAATCGTTTTATTTTTTAGAAAAATCTTCCATCTGTAGTTGATACAGTGGAAGAAAAATTTGAGAAAACTGATAATGGGAACATTGCTAGTGGAACCTCTCAAAATTCAACTAATCCTAAAAAAAGAAAACGTAATTTACCTAATATAAAAGCAAGTGATGTATCGGATGAAGTAGTAAGCAATGTAGTAAGTAAATTTAATAAAATATATGTATTGTTATTAGAATTATGAAATTTGTATGTTTTTAATTAAAATATTTTAATCTATTCATAAAATTATGAAATATAATTTTAATTATGAAATTGTGCTGAATGCAATAATCAGTTCTAAATCGTTTTATTTTTTAGAAAAATCTTCCATTTGTAGTTGATACAATGGAAGAGAAATTTGAGAAAACTGATAATGGGAATATTGCTAGTGGAACCTCTCAAAATTCAACTAATGCTGAAAAAAGAAAACCTAATTTACCTAATATAAAAGCAAGTGATGTATTGGATGGAGCCAGCAACAAGGAACAGTTTATTCAAATACGGATGAACAAGATTCTGCAGAATGTAAAATTATGCAGAATTTGTTGGAGTAGAAATCGACAAATCTTATTTGTACCATGCTATCATTTTTTGACGTGTGAAGAATGTGCGACAGATTTGACAAAATGTATATGTGGTAAGAATATTAAATGTACTGTAAAAGCGAATATGTTATAATATCTTTATTTTTGTGCTAAATAATCTGTATTTTCTATAAAATTTTTCATTTATTGACATTACAAAGATTGACACTTTATGGCCGGTATTTATAGTCAGATCTTATATTCAAGACCATCTTAAGAAGTCACGAACCAATTAGAGAGCTGCATCAACGTCTTAACACATTATTTAAGATGGTCTTGAAATAAGAATCGACTATGAATACCGGCTTAAGTAAAATTAAATACTACTTAATTTTGTACTATCACTTAAATTTTGCTGATTCGTATAGCGTACTTAGTAGATACAAATTAGAATGAGAAAAATGATCTTAGTTCTTTTTACCAGTATTTAACAGGGTTGGATAGTGCCAAGTTAAAAACCTAAAAGTTAAGTTAAAAAGTTGAAAAGTTAAATAATTTTAACTTAACTTAGTTACATTTTAGACTCTTAACTTTTTAACTTTATTTAGTTACATTTTATCGATAACTATTAACTTTTTATTTAAATTTTTTGAAGTTAAGTCTCAGACTCAAATATATACTTCATTTAGAACATACTCTATATTTTACTTAAAAAGTTTTGTTTGTATATATTATTTACATTATATATTGATTTCAATCTAGCAAAAACGTATATTTTAATATATCTAGTTTTTGATTGAAATCTATATATATATATATTAGGTTGAAATCTATATATATATATATATATATAACAGTATATATAAACAAAAAGTTTAAATAAAATATAGAATATATTCTAAATGAAGTATATGTTTGTCATTTCCGTTATTTGTAAGACTCTGAAATCATAAAATAGAAAGAAATTTAACTTTTAATTTTTCAATTACTTTTTTTTATGAACTTAACTTTTAATTGAATTAATTTCATTATACATTAACTTGCATCTTAACTAAGTTAAATTTTCAAGGTTGTTAACTTTAACTTAGTTAAAAGAAAAAATTAACTTACTCAACCCTGGTATTTAAATATAAAATGTATGTTTTTTTTTTTTAATGATAGAACGCCGATTATTGAAGCTAATTTACGTATAGCTATTATTGAATTTTATATAGTATCGAATTTTTTTGTCTAATTTGTAAGTTTTTATCAAGATAACTGAAATTGTAAATAAATTGAGATCATTGGGATCGATATGAATAAAAATTGATATCTGCATTCATTGATTTTTTAAAATTTTTTTCTGGAAATGCTTCAGACATACTATCTATCTTCTTTCATCCTTATTGTACATATATATTCCATGAGAATCATATAATAAAACACTTGCCAATCTGAGTTTCGTAACCTCTATCTCTTTTGAATATCTCGTCAGAAAATAGCAATCATTATCAGCTAGAAAAAAATGAGAGAGCAATCGTATTGATATATGTTTATTACAGCAAAACATGATAATCATAGTACATAATTATGACATTCATTTGTTACATTCGCTTGTTTATCTCTTAATTGCAAGAAATAATTTAAAGATGTATTCGAAATATATACGATGCAGGTGAATAACTGAAATAGAGTTATAGATAATTTCGATAACAAGATCAACAGTTTTAGCCAAAAAGTAATTTATTAGGATTAGAAAGTTACTTTGAGGACAAGTGCTACATATTATAGAGGACATACATTTATTCTGGTAAACACTAGCATATTATAACTTACGTACTTATGTAAATTGTCTAATGCACTTTAATTTGATTAGAATGTATTCCGGTCTTTTTCTATTTTCGACCTCATTGTTGTACCTAAATGTTATACTATCGTAATTTCTCATCATTGTAGATATGACTGTCCTTCTGGAATTGCATTCTTTGTGATTAAAATGAGGCAAATATCTACGCTTTAATATATTAATATTTGAGTTTATTTTATTTACGAATATGTATCTGTTAGATTGTTAAACACTCAGAAAGCATTGTACATCAATGTTTAATTAACGAGGCAAAGGTACTTTAGGGACCTATTGGTAATTTATTTTAAGTAAATTTCTATATAGATATGTCTTCGTAAAGCGTTGGTTAAACTTTCACTCACAGATTTTCAATCAGGCAGTATATTTTTCCCCGTTTTCTCTTTTCTCATTTTCTCTTTCTTTCCTTTTTTTTGTTTTGCTCTATCGTTATTAAACTATAATTTAAATCATATAACAAACAACCTTCTGAAACAAATCCGAAAAATATATTTTTAAATGTCAAAATTAAAAATGTTTTCTGACTAATAAAGCGTAATTCAACAAATCAATACATTCTCATATTTTTAAAAGACTTCTATATAATCTAAATACATCAAGCTAGGTTAACAATTAACTTAATGATTATTCATCTCTTTGACTCATTATTTAGATAGATTATCTTAGGGATTATTTTGTCAATTAAATAGCTGCGCCACACAAAGAGATAGTAAAAATAGATTATATAGCACTATATTGCCATCTTATAAAAAATTTCTCGCAGTCTCTTTGTGCAAAAGCTATATCATAGATTGATTCTAAAAAGCGCAATGGCACCATTTACTAAAACTTATAAAATCATAAGCATTTCCTTAGAGCTACTATTCATAATATAAACATTTTTCCATTTTACACATTTTGTTAATACGAATTAGATAGTACAAGAGAAAAACGTTAACAAAATTATTGTCTTATTTAAAAATGATAATCATTATAAACAGGTTTGATTATAAAATTGGTCCAATATTAATACTAATATGTATAATTTCTTGTGGATGTCATTAAGTTTCGCTTATATTACAACAGAATGTGTTTTCAAAACGCACTAATGTTAATATATCTTAGATTTAACGTTAACCCGTTTTATACTGGATAATAATCGCGCAGTAGCAATCATTTATATATAACGAGTAAATTATATGACAAAAACTTTTGTCTTTAAGAGAAAATGTTCAAAAATATATTACTTAATATTATATTGCTACGCTATTCAACTGCAACTTGTTCGCGCGACTATTGTTCAATAAAGAACAGATATAAAAAAGCTTTATTAAAAAAAACTCCTATAAACGCGAATATACATTTAATATATGTGCAAATTTTATATTTACATATTTATATATATAGTTCTATCTCTTTCTCTTTCTATGAATAACATTCTTTATAAATTTGTGACATAATATTGAGATTCTTGTCACTTACGTATATATGCATTATATATATATATATAATGCCATTTTAAAGTTTTATATTAAAAGCATAAATCACATATCAAAAATTCTTGTGACTTATACAAAAAAATCTTTTTATTTTTAAAATCTAAATAATTTTCTATACTATCTTTATCGTTATATTTTTATATATTGGCATAACAATTTTTAATTGTCTTCAAAATTTTGGAGTTCTTTGGAAGAATGACTTAAGTCAAAAAATACAGTACTCCAAAGTCATGATTAAATATTTTAATATTTAATATTTTAATTTTAAGTAAATGCTTGCAATATATTATTAGCAAAATAATAGAATAATAGCTTAAGAATAAAAAATATGTAATTAAAGACAAGTTGTTCTTCCAGAAAACTGTATACACAATCAAAATTTATATTATATATAATATCTAAAGTATCACCAATTATGACTATCTTTTGATTTTGTATATAAGGCCAAATATTTAGACTTTTTTGTTGTATATCATTTTTAAACTACACTTCGTAACAGGATTCTATAATCTTAACTATTTCTAATCTTAATAATTATATATATATATATATATTTCGGTAATTATATATCCATGTAAATTTAGTTCTAATACTCTTCTTTTCCATTCATACTAGTGGGCACATGACTTTGTTGAGTTGCACTTCGAATGACTTCAATCCATCTGAGAAAATATAAAGTTATTGTTGTATTTTTCTTTTAAATTTTAGCTTTTTAAAATTATAAAAACATCCTGTATATTTACCTCCCAAAAGTGTAATCACTTTCCGCTCGAAAGAAATATACATGGTTTTTGAATTGTAACTTAAATACAAAGTCCTTGTTGATCCCATCTTTTTCTGATGGTGTAGAAACAGCATATCCTAATAATGGCAAACAAGCTAATGGGAAGTCGTCTTGATGAGATTTGTAGAAGAATAAACAAAAGTTAGTAAATACAACCCAAAGCTTTTGCCAACCATTGCTATTCTTGAATTTCCGTAGAAGAAATCCACTAAGCTGGTTCTGAAACAATGCATGTAATGAATATGTCAATTTTTATGTAGAATATCCAAGTACGTCGTATAATGACTGATAAGGTATCAGTAATACACAAATACTACTCGGAACTTTAACATACTTGAAACGCTCGTAGTTGATCACTGTAACTAATACTTGTATTACGATGCCAACAAACGTGAACTGTAGTATTGCTACGTTGTGAGGCCTTCGCACCTCCGCAACTAGTTCGATCTACTTCTAATCCTACACCATCTCCCACTTCATCGGCTGAACCTAGAACTTTTATATTAAAAAAAATCTTAGAAGAAATCTTCTTTCATTAAAAAAGAAAGCTACGATGAAATATTCTTTCACTCAGTACAGACACTTCAAGTTTATATTGCTTAATTTAACAGTTACTTACTACAAGATTTTAAACTTAAATACGGCATTTTCGCATCCGATGCATCAATCTGTACTATAGCCATGTTTAAATCTTCTATCCATCTCTCTTTCTCTTCTTCGTTGCTTGCTGCAACTGTTAATGATCTGCAAAAATAAAATTATTTAAATTTTATGTCTTCTTTTACTTTTGTTATGTTTTTAATTTTAATAGTATAACATTGAAAATATTTTAATTTCTGTCTCTTAAAATATCTTTAACACGACTGGTTCACATTCTTCTGAGTTCGAAGTCACAATCATACTGATGATCATTAATAGCACGCGTGCTTCAATAAAATCAGTTTAGCTAGTTGACTTCTCAATAACGATACGGCCTTTTAATGACTAGTATCTTGTAGTATATTTTTACACTTTATTACTATCTCTTCAATTGTACAATGTAATTCAAAGCGTTTGATATTTACTGATTTCCTTGTCCATCGATAATAAAAGCAAAATCTGTTCCAGTCTTGTTATCTGCATCTTGAATCTTCATTCCTTTCAATGGTAGTTGGCCATGCACACGGAAACATTGCGTTGGTTGTTGGGTACGGAATGTATACAGTAATACGTCTGAGAACTGAAAATAAACACGATATTAATCTGTTATCCGACTTATCAGATTCACATTCAATAAGAAACACGTAGGATACTTACCAAGAAGAACATACGCTGTTGAAAACCTTTACGGCTGTACTTCTGCAGGCATCCTTGCCTGATAAACCTTCGTCCTTCTTGTACTAGATTATCAAAACCAGTAATGTCTCTTTGCATTTCGCATAACTGCACTAAATTTTCCTACAACAGTATACAATAAAGATAAAAATTAAAAATAAAAACTATAATCTATTAAACAAATTGATATAACATAACTGATTTTACTGTGAATTAGTGGAAAAACAATCAATACTTTTATAATTCAGATCCGTTTTGTTAATTTTATTTGTTAGGTTCTTGTATCAATCAATCCTAATTGCCTTAATTTTCTCACCGCTTGATTTATAATCGTGAGTCCCTCGAGCAATGTTTCGCCGAGTCTGTCTCTCGCTGCCAAACAATCCTCAAAATCGGTATGATCTTTTGGATAATGATCCAGTAATCCTAAAAAAACATCACTTTGAGAAATGAAGAATTATCGGTGTACATGTTGCAAATCTATAATCTGATTTCGGTTACTCACTGTCAATAATACTGTTATAATGCAATAATCGTTGTAGAGGTTTCAAAAGGAATGAAGTTAATGGCAAATAGCAATGCTTCTGCGACTCGAAATCACGGCAGAGCTGGTCGAAACGTCGCGACGTTCGCATGGAGTATTCCATTTTCTCCAATACCGGGATGAGATTTTCCAGATATTGGTCGTAGAGAGGCAGAATGTTTAGAAGCGTATTGTATAAAAAGTCACCGATATTGTGACGAGCGTTGCTCTCCCAACGTGCCAGCCGTGCCTCCATTTCTTGAAGGCAGGGTCCATGTACGTCGGCGAGTAGCTCGATTAAAGACACTACCGTCTCCCCTTCTAATGCCGCTTCTCTAGAAACTTCCTCGCGGAACCACTGCACATAAATATAAATCACAACTTAAAATTTGTGAGTCTTCTTTCTGTTTCTCTGAATATAGGACATCTTCTAAACTGAATTTATTTCAACTGACGTGTTTTCTATCTCTGAAATAAAGTGCAATTTCACATACCACATTAATAACATCCAAATCCTTCTTGTAAGTTCGTTCTGTCATGAGAAGCTCCTTAGCTATGTAATAAGCTTTATCGGTTGGCCATCTCTACAAATAGGAAAATAATAAGTCTTGGTTACTGTTTCCCCCCCCTCCCTTAAAGAGTTATCGTTGAAACAATATGTCGATTATCAATAAATCTACCTTTGTTTTTCTAACTTCTGTTTCTTCTGCTTCCCCGTTTCGTATATTTTTTATCGGGCTGAGATCCGGCGAGTTTACGATGCTCGCATTGTTCATCTCGACTCCGCCATTCGTTGTTCGTTTATCCGGCGATTTCTCAGCAGTATATACAGAATTATTATTCTCCCGTTGATTAGATATCTCCTGCTTTTCAGCTTGAACATCTGTAAATAAATATCAGTTAGATACCCCGAAAGAAACAAAAATTAAACAACACGAGAATTAAAAAAGAGATAAAATAAGTGTTGATGAAATATACATTAAATTTTATGTATATATATATATATATATATATGTACACAAGGGATCCCAAAACTGGTGGTAAGTGAGAAGGGAGTGGTTCTACATGAAAAAATAAGTGTAAAATGTAGAATATACTTTTTTTATACGAAACTATTTTTCTGCAAAACAAAGTCTCGTATAAAAGTTTTACTGTCTATTTTTTTACTTAGTTTTTATGTACAATTATTCCCTTCACGGCTGTACTATCGGTCAGTTCTGGGACACCTTGTATACGTATAAGGTGTTCATTGTAACCTTTTTTTTTAACTGTCGCAAATATTTCAAAAATGATGCGATTATTACAATAAACACCGTTACAAAAGAACATATATATAGGCACGCATGCTACAGTGCACTATTTATATCTGTTCCTTTTTTTATTGTGATTTTTGCAGAATTGTAAACAAATATTGATGGCTGATTCAAATGCAACATAAAGTTTGGGAAACTTAATCGATGAATCGGTGGCACATCTATAACAAGTGTCTATAACATTTATACTAACTTTATGTAAACGAACAGTTACTCTCGATATATTATATAGACATCAAGAAATTTATAAGTAAGAATTAATCTCTACTTTTAGTCCAGCAAAAGAGTAAATTTTCAACATCTCTATCGTAGCCTCTGTTCTAAGAGTTCTTTCTTATCTTATTATCAATAACCATTTAGCGGCATTATTAGGCGGATGAGTTATAAATATTAAAATGTATTTCAATGTATTTAAATAAAGGCAAATAATGCTCTGCGAATAACTTCGAAAATCTCAGTGAGATGCGTGCAGTATTTCTAATTCGAGAATAAAAAAAAAGATCGATCCTCTTTGCGCAAATCATGGTATAAAGGTAATGATGCGAGTGAAGAGTGCAGATAATGTCGAGTAAGCTATTTTAGTAAACAAATGAGACATCAAAGCCAGCGTATACGGTTTCATTCCTATGAAAATTCATGCCCAAGTACGTCTATGAAATATCGTGCTCCAAGTCACAAGCAGCTAATAAAACGATTAGAAGCCGGATCAAGTTAATGCTAAGAATCCATAATGTAACAATATTCTACATTATTCCACTGATGCAAAACGCATGCGGAAATAAGAAATATCATATCGAGATCGCACGATATTCGCAATGGGCGAACGGAAATTCCTCAGCAGCGAGAAAATCTCCGATCGAACTCGGCTTCCTCTGAGAGGAAGATAAAATGTAGTGAAAAGAACAGAAAAAGATATATGCGGTACAACTAGGAATAAGCTACTCCGCCTATACTTTGCTTCGGTTGTAATGACGTAATGATCATTCAAATACGAGTGCGGACTTGTAACGCATTTGCATGAATCTCTGAAACCTTGAAAATATATTTCTCTGGCCTTCGAGCGCGATAATTAATAGCCGTATTACTTCCAGGCTTATACAACGTGTGAGATCGCGTGACTTCAAGAGTATTTTGATACTTTCAGCCTTGATCCTGAAACACGTGACTTATTCTTTGTCATGCATTCGTCTTGAAAAAGATTCGTGTTTATTGTTAAGAACGTACACTTACTGAATTATTTTTTTCTAAATAACTTTCAAAACTGCAGCGCTCAAATGCAGAGTACATGTAGATCTGTTTATGGATTATGCAAATGCGACAAAAAGCCGAGACTAAACAGGAATTCGTGCTATTTCAGTGGTTCGTGAAATAATGACGAAGAGAAAGAAACTGTAATATCCACAATTAAAACAATTAGGCATTGTAAAGGGGATTACTCACACGTAGTGTCATCCGTGTCGAACGACGAATCCGGCATTGCGATAAAGAGATACGGTATGAAGAACGGAAAAAAAAAAGAAAAGGACAGGCCACATCGCAGGGGAAGGAGAAGAAAACGAAGAAATTCAATATTCAATTCGGTAAAAAACAACAGATAAAACGAGGCAGAACAGCAATGCTGTGAATCTCTGTCGGACCCGAAATTAAAATGTCAATCTGATCGCACGTGGATAACGAAAAACGAGGGCGGGAGGAGAAAATTAATATTTTTGAATGAAAAAAAGGAGAGAAAACGAAGATATTCGTCCAGAAACCAAAGTGAAATTACTAATGCAGATCCGACATGTGACTTTGTATATAATTTATTGTTATCATAATTAATGTATCAATAATCAATGTACAATAGATTCCCTACGCTTGGAATACCGCTCTTCGTCCTTTGGACGTCGGTAATTCCCCCACGTCCCTCCATCGAGCTGTGCCTCGATATATATCGTTCGAACACAATTAATCGGTCGATATATCGAACGACCGACGAGACGGCGCACCTCAACCGGGGGAATCACCGCGTAAAACAGATATATTTTTTATGTATATATATATATATTTATATATTTATTTTTATATATATATAGCGTTAACAAGTACGGTATATCGATAAACGATCAAAAAGTGTTACACAAATTACAAACGGGGGATAAGGGATGGGGGGAGCGTTACGCCGACACGACAGACACCTCGACGTGTATCCTGCTCTAATTATCTTGTCCATCGCATTTCGTTCCGATCTTTAAATCGGGTCCTAATTGTACGCAATTATATTTACCTACGCATACATACGCGGGTGTGCGTGTGCGCGTATACAAGATGTCCTACCGTTACCAATTGACGCCTCAGATATCGTAGGACTAATTAAGAAAAATAGCAAAAGTTATGGAGCTGTTTCGATAAAATTTGAAGAGTCATTTTTTTTAATTCTCAAAAAAAGAAAAGAATGCGTTGAGAGAGAGAGAGAGAAAGCGAGAGATAAAAGTTAGTGGAATCTCCTGTCTCAGCGCTTTTTATCTCGATGAAAAGAAATGAATTTGAATTTAACGAAAAGATAGACTTTCATAACCGAGCTATCAAAGAAACAGAAATAGAAAGAAGATATCTATGGCTAAGACAGCCGGTAGGGCATTCCGTATACGAACGTCGTATATTTCGAACGCTCACAAATCGAAGCAAAAGTCAGTTGACACGCGAGTAACGTCGTCTTTGCAGACCGGAAACGGAAGATGAGCGAGCTCGAAGTTACATTGGGATGACAACAATGTGTGATTACCGTCCGGTCGATGATTCTCTCAAGGACTCCTTTATTGCTAGTCTCGTAAGCCATTAGAAGAGACGAAGCGTATTTAATAGTAAAAAAGGACGTCAAAATTAATGTAATACAAACTGGAAGACAAATAATAGTTTCAATGAGAATATTGCGTGAAATTAACACTTCGCGACCCTATTGGAATTTCATATTATCGTTATTAAAATCGACAGTCTTATAAAAACGTTTGACACTGAGAGATCGAGGTGTAAAAACATAATGCTTACGTTATAATTTGCGACGATATAGAAAAAATTGTCGGCTTAAAATACAAATATCGAGCTTTATCGTTGATAAAGTTTAAAGCCGAATAACGTTTGGATACGCGACAAATATCCTCAACAAATATCCGAATCAGAGTAAAAAGAGTTCCGTAAGAACAGCTAATAAACAGCTTATTCTTAAACGTCATTATAAATCTACGACTGGCCAAATTTGCCCCGAAATATGTGGAAATCAGACACATTAATATAATATATCCATGATTAGAAAAAATAGGTGCATTTATATTTGCATGCAGTAGAATTTGCGAAAAGAGAAAAACTTAAAGTTATTTTACACTCTCTCTGATTATGACGAATCCATTCACAAAATGTTTGGCACTATTTTATCTAAAAAAATTTTCCACCGTGGTTGTCATAATTAATATTATCATTCTACGTATGGTTAATACAAAGTGCCTTCTCTTCTTAACGATTAACGCGTTCGTGAATGAACAGTGCCAAGAAACAGTGCCAAGAACGAAGTTGTTCGATTCATCTTCATCTACTTTATAAATGGCCAAAAGTTATTAGGCAAAATTTATCTTTGTTTCCGTCTTACAAACTTAAACATACAATTTGTATAATACCCGATTATTATGGAAATTAGCGCTTGAACTTTTCACTAGAAATTTATTTCTCCAGTGTTCATATTTTGCCGACCTAATACGCAGTTCCGAAATTACAAGAGTATTAAAATTTCAAGCTTCAATTCAATTCGTATTTTCTTCTTTTGCACGCAAAAAGTTAAATGCCACATATCCAACTTTCCCGTTGTTAAGATTAATTCCTTCTGGTATTTGAGAAAGTGAATTAAATCGCAGTTACATTCAATTTTTCACTCTCAGAACGAAATCTGGCCGAATACAAATTAATATTGTTATTATTATTAACCCTGTATTGCATGACTTCTCTCGATACTAATCAACTTTAAAAATAAAAGACGGCAAATTTGTAATATTTAAATCTTGTAAGAAGACACGTGTTTCTTTATAAGATTAACTTATTTATAATATTATTAAAACAATATTTCAAAATAAAATCGATATGATAAAATCGAATACACTCAGCTATATTTATCCGGATTTTTACGTATAACAAACGTAATGCAATAGAGGGTCAACTATTTATAACATATATCCATTGCGAGTGTCTCTGCGATTGACTACTCGATACATAACAGTCGTTCGGCTGTCACGCTCGGGTTATATTTATATATTGATCCCCTGAACCACTATCGAGATACGATATTGAGAAGCACGGAGGATGATTCTTTAGAATTCATAGTAAAAACAAAGGGAACACGGGCACATAATATCCATCAATTACGAACTTCTCGCCCCAGGCGTCAGGCATTATTGCTAAATTCGTGAACATTCGTATAGTAAATGTTAACTGTAATAATTCGACTTGTTGGGAGGTTTATAGGAGAGAAAAGCTCACAAAGTTCGAACATTGAGGGAGATTTAAACAATTTCAATTGTCGAGCATTACAAGAAACGTTCTCAGCGCCTCTTGTCATTATCATATGAATGATCCTTCAGAAGATTTTGAAAATAGGAAAGAGCGCTGAGAAACTTTCCGTTACGGTGACATAATATTTAAAATGTCTGAATTGTTTATATCTATCTCAGATAGTCTCTTTCGTTGGAAGGAAAATTGTACAAGCTTCGAATAAATTGAGGAGAAATGGGACGGAGAGCCGAGGATGAACTCTTACGGTGTTTGTCCATACACATATACTGCAAAGATACTGTGATAAGAATTACAATTAAATGAGCATGGTGACGTGACCGAGAACGGAGACTTTGTACAATTAATTAGGGGTTGACGTGACGAGACATTGTGATAGGTGGCAAAATACGTTCGTGATTCGTGACAGGGGCGCTACGTAATGGTTCCAAAGGTTCCTAAATAGTTAATAATTGACGTAGAAGTATATGTGTAACGTGTGTGCGCGTGTGTGTATATATATATATATGTATGTATGTATGTTGTGCGTGTACATGTGTAATAATGATGAATAAGATGCGGGAACGTTCAGTACCACGCTGCAACTAGAGATGTGAGTTTGACGATCGCGTTTTGCTATTATTCTCCACTCGTTTCAACAATATCATGGCAATAAAGAAATTCATAGATTATTTTTTTTTTATCTCGCTATCACAGCTTAACATAAGGCAGTGCGAAAACTGGTCGAAACTGTTCGATTTTGTGGAGAGACGTCGCAGCTGAACTGCGAATATTTCACCGCTTAAATTATTCAACGTTAGGGCGTCTCGACGAGACCGTGTCCTCTCTCGTTTTTTCTCGAGACTTGTCGACATGCTACTTCGGAAGATATCTCGTGCCCCTTCCAATTCGGGAAGCCGCCCTTTGTTAATATAGTAGCGTACCATCAATGTGCCATATCACGATCGTTCGATTAATGTAACTTCGTATGTTCGTATGAGTGAAATTCACATCTCTACGCACGTTCTAGGCAGGGGGAAGGCAGGAACAGTTGACTATTATATATAAATGTATGTATAGCACAGACTAATATAATGCAAAAATATGAGGGGGTGACGTTTTCGAGGATAAATTGCTTGAAACTACAAGAGTATCGAATAATGATGGAAACTCTTTGAATTCAGTTATAACAGTGCGACATCGCGTATATATACAATTGGGAATAGACATCGCACAACGTGTACAGCGTACTTTATTCCGTAAGATATCGAAAATTACAGTATTACTTTAACAACGTGTTAAAACATCGCGTTCACGCGTTTTTAGAAGATCTAGTTGCAACAATCTAAAAGTGCAGTGCCGGTGTATCGAGACTGTGAACATTTTGTGGACATTTTGTGCACACACGAAAGTCATCAGATTTTATACAGCGAGATTGTCTTTAACACTTTCTTCTCTTTTCTTTTCTCTTTTTAGATCATGAGCAACGTGACGATCTTCAGAATAAATACTTTAGAATAAATATGGTGTGGCTGAGGAGTTAAGTGCGTCTAAGATCTAAAGGACCAGAAATCTCGCTACGGAATGGAATTAACGAAAGCGGAGAAACATGCTAATAAAGAGAGAAGCTGGTTAACAAAAGTGGTCCAAGCGAATCGCGAGAGGGGACAGCATGTTTTATTCGCAAAGGCGAAGTCTTCAATCCTCTGTCCTCTGAGAATTCTGACAGGAGAGAAAAAAAAAAGAGGGAATTTCGTGGCGCTTTTATACACACGCGGAGCGATTTGGACATATAATATATACCGTCCAAATATATATACATTGATGGTATTAATATATATAAAATATCGCACACTCCGTGGTGTCGCTAGACGCTAAGGATTTTGTTTTCGACAGTAGAGAATTTTTACAAATCTTACGCTGTGTAATAACGAGAGAGCACAATATTCGTGGCTTCCTACCTCCCCCCGCATGAATCACAATCCCGCGATAATGCTGCGTGAAAATCAAACGATCGCAAAGCATAGTGTTGAAGGGAATTGCAAAAGGATGTAGAGTAGAAGCTGGTACGCTTGGGATCTTGGTTTTTTGCGCTCTTTTCTTTTGAGTTTTCTTTGTTCTCAATATAATCT